ATCACTTACTTTTAATAATTCATTCTGTTTTTGTTGGTAGACATGTATTGGTCGCTGCCTTGAAAGAGGAAAAAGCAGCGGTAGGAGTGATGACAACCGAGAGAGTCTAGAAAAGAGGTATTGTACCCAGAACTTTTTATGTTTATGTTCCTTGTTTTCATTGTAGCATGTGATCTATTTTTTCTGTTTTCTAGACTTCACACGTACCTGCAATCAACTAAGCCTATAATAGACCAATATGAGAAAATGGGAAAAGTCAGAAAAGTCGATGCCTCTCAATCTGTTGATGAAGTAAGTGTCAAGGACTTACAGTAATATGTATATATTTTGGCTCCCTTTTTCTGCGATGTAGAGTTTATCTTTTCTGAACTGAATTATGAATTGCTCAATCCAAACCAGTCAGGCTGGATCATAATATAGAATTTTCCATCTGTTTTTCCAAGAGAGTTCTGGGGAGCAAAAGAGGATCAGGATTCATTTTTCTAAATTTCAAGGATGATTGAAAGCTGGGTATATCTCTAATTGAAAGGGATTCTGGTCAATTTGAGCTAGAATTTAGAATTTGTAAAAATATATTTTTATGAAATTTAAAATCAAATAGAATGTTTTAAGAATGGATGTAAATAGCATCTAGAGGAAGATCTTTGCAATGCACACAAATGTCAGGAAGCTTTATTATCTCTACAAAACCCAAAATTATGCTTCATATTCACGAGTTCTGTCTACTGCCACCTTCACAATTAACTAATTATATTTAGAGAGAGCACTCACCTAACAAAATGTTTCTATAAACTGAGGGTTTTTTGCTCCTCAAGGGGAACCAGTTTTATTTCAGACAAATATTCCAAACACTGCAGTTTTTATACTAGTGCAAATGAAAATGAAATTTATTAGCTTATTGTCCATTATTGAAGCTGAATGAAATATAAACACTGAGCCGAAGTAGAAAAAAAAATGGTTTCACTAATCATTGGTTTTACCATCATATCATATAAAGGTCGGGAAATTGGACCTCCATCCTACAATTAGTTTGAATATAAAGACCACTTGTAATCAAGTCATAAGGATTGAGTTTTCTGCTATCGGTAATGTGCTCTCATGCTGCCATATAAAAAGAAAATATAATTATGTTGATAACCTTAAAAAATAGATGAAGATAAGAGACTAGATAGGAATTCCTGCTAGATTCCTTCCCCTCTATTTTGATATGCACATCTTTAAAAAAAAAAATCAACTCCTTATTGTACCTTTCAAAATATTGATTTACCATCAGTAACTGTGTGTGGTGGTCTAACTTAAAATTGCTGAGTATTTAACAGTCCTTAATTTTAATTCAGTGTTCCTCTCTTTCAGGTTTTTGGTAAAGTTGTGAAGATTTTTGACAAAGAAGGCTAGTTTCATACTTGAAAGCTCCCTCGAAATTGTGCTTGAATCTTGCTTTAATAGCTGCTACTAAATTCAACATTTTTGTAATTGTTTTAAAGATTTTTTTAAATGTTTCTTCTATTCACAGAGTTGGAAAAATAATTAATTGAAGATTGTTGTTTTTAAATAGGAATGCATAGATTTATTGTGGCTATAGTAGACAATAAATTTCAGGAGTCTTTAATTTAGTATAGTTACTTACAAAATAAAGATAATAGTCAAAATCAATCTGCAGAGACTATCAGTCCTTTTATAGTTTTGTGCCATTCATGGCCAGGCCTTCTTGTCGCTTATTGCCATAAATCTGTTTTGAAGAGTCCAGTAAATAGCAATGATAAGTGGCAAGGCCTACATGTTTTTCTTTTAAACAAAACTCAGCCTGGTTTTGGACCAAACTTAGGAAACTCTTTCCAAGTAAAATTGTATGCATTTGATTATTCTTTGTCCCACAGCTGAATTCTGTAAACAAAACTGTAAAATTAGCTTGTGGATTTGTTTAGAACTACTCCCCTAACTAATTTAAAATAGTGTGAAGGTCGTAAGCTATAGAAGTACAAAATACTTTGTTAAAATGCTCTCTTATGACTTTGGGTGTTGAGTGCTTAGAGATGTGCCCCTTTTCTTAGTCCTCATGTACAAGAAATTAAAACTAGAATTCAGAGTCCGTTTAGTGTCTATGCACTCACTTATTTGTGATGGTAATTACGCTCTTAAGTATGATAGACATTAAACAGAGACCGCTCCAAGCAGATGTGTAGTAAAACTATTTTTAGCAGTTCTGTTTTTGTAACAAAATAAAAGGGCATTTCTGTATTATTGAATATTGTTGAATATTT